TCTTTGTTTATCTTTGTTTTCTTGAGTTATGGAGACCCCGTGCAACCGAAGTGCGAGTCTTATTTTCTTCCAAATCTCCTACCTTTCATCAATTGCTTTCAATTCTTAGCGCAAATTAGCTTAATTCCAATCACATTCAAGCGAGTAGCATGTTTAGGACCTTGTTTTCAGTTATGTGAATTAACTACTAGATAGTGAACGAAGCTCCGAACAACCTTTCTCGAGAGACACGACCCGAGGTCGATATTTTGATCGTACTCGGCTAAAAAATTACAAACAAAAACAACTAACTCACAATGGCATCCATACTATACGATTATTCATCATAAAAATAGATATCATCTTTTAAGCATGAAACATGCAAAAGCTAAGGAAGGTTTATTATGTTAACCTCTGCAGGCGGATTAATTTTCTACATAACAATGAGTGGTTATAGTTTCAGATATTATAAGTTGATTAACTATATTGTCAGTAATTATATTAATCAACGAAAATCATTTAAACTTGGAAAGGAATTATTTGTAATTGGGAGCTAGATTGAGAGTGCATTAATATTACTCTAGTAGAATGTTTTATTATTCAAGTGTGAACCCAATGTGTGAACACAAGGTTTCCTTTCACACGTAGAAGCCCATATGTAGCACTTACTTAGAGTCTCTATTGTAGTCTATAAATACACCAAGTCTCATGACTCCTCCATATAACATATTCACAGGTTTTGAGGTCTCCAAAAGAGAGAAAAATTCGTGATTACAAACAACTAGGGCTGGGCAAAAAATTCGAACCGAACCGCTGAATCGTAGATCCGAATCGAAATCGAACCGAATTTTCGGTTAACCGGGGTACTCGGTTCGGTTACAAATACCTCAAAGGAAGTATTTGCTCGGTTCAGTTCGGTTACGGTTTTTAGGATGTTTTTACCCCGGTTAAACGAACCGAACTGTATATTATATTAAAATTTATAAAATATATATTATCTAACCTAGCTAATCTCTCCAGACTTGAAAATTCATTCTCGTCTTCCTCACGCCGTCGGCCCGTCACGCTCTTCCCTCCGATTCATCCTTGTTCATCCCTTCGTTCCAGTCACTCAGTCAGCCGCCCAGCCTCATTCGCTCATCCCTCTACCTCGCGAGACGCAAGTTGCCCTAGGTTGCTGCTCCGCGCGAGTTGCTCAGCCCCAGATTAGTCTCCGCGCGAGTTGGCGTAGGTTGCTGTTGGTGTCCCTGCCCTCTTTCCCGCCGCTCCTCGCCTCTTCTCGCCACAACCGCCGCTGCTACAAAGGTATGAGATTTTTTATTTATTGATTTTGCCCAGTTCCATTAAGCCCATTACAGAAAGTGAAGAAACTACTAATTATCTTTCAATATTTGACATAATTCTTAGTATCACTTTTCTTACGGGGACATTTTTAGTCCTGAAAGATTATTATTGTAATTAGGTCGGATATCAGGGGTACGTTTTCCTATTATAATTTAAAATTTATCATCCCACAGCATGTATAAGTACTCGCTTTAGCTCTTTCCATAAATTCAGGCTGTCCGTTTGAGACTTTGAGGATAATGTATACATACAAACAATCTTTCTTTTTTATCTACCGAAAATTTTCTTTTGTTGGTTTATTGGTTTGTTGGTTTAACATTTGTGAAGTAATTTGGGCAGATTTGGTTGATTTATTGGTTTCTGATTCATTGGTTTTTGATTTATAGAATTATGGTGTCAATGGGTTCAAAAACCAGTGGTGATGCTGTGGATTCAAACCAGCCATTAGAAATGGAAACACCGACTGAGCCACAGACAGAACCGACTGAGATAGCAGCTGAAGCTCAACCTGAACCAATCACAACAGCTCCCACAAATGCGATACCCAAACCTCGATCCATTGCATGGGATAACTTTACAAGAACTAAAGCCGGAGATAGGGCCAAATGTAACCACTGTTCTACCTTGATAACTTGTAAGGGCAAGCAAGGTACAAGTACTAGTGCTATGTTAAACCATTTGAGAAGATGCAAAGCAAAGTTGGATGAGGTTCAAGATGAAGAGCGGCCGGGAAAGAGGATTAAGCAGGTAACATTGCATAATCAACCTAGAAGGGGTAGTGATTCCACTGTTGTCAATTCTTATTTGCATTTTGATCAACCACAATGTCGTAAAGCACTTGCAAAATGGGTTGTTGTTGATGAGATGCCATTTAGGATTGTAGAATCTGAAGGTTTTCGTGAATGCATGAGTGTGATTCAACCTAGGTTTGGAATTCCATCAAGGAAAATATTGGTTAGGGATTGTATTAAGATTTATGAATATGAGAAGTCCAAGTTGGAAAGTTTTATGAAGAACTACAAGGGTAGTATTTGCCTCACAACTGACATTTGGACATCATGCCAGAATCTTAGTTATATGTCATTGACAGCCCATTTCATTGATGAAAGTTGGAATTTGCATAAGAAAATTCTAAACTTCTGTCCCATTCTCGGTCACACTGGTGCTGCTATTGGGAAGAAAGTTGAAGATTGTTTAGTGTCCTGGAAAATAAAAAATGTTTTCAGTATTACAGTTGATAATGCCAGTGCGAATGATGTTGGTTTGAAATATCTGAAGGACAGGTTGAATAAATGGGGAGGAACAATTTTAGATGGCAAATATCTACACATGAGGTGTGGAGCACATATCCTTAATCTCATTGTTAAGGATGGTTTGAAGGAGTTTAAGGGTCCAGTTGAGCGAATACGTGCTGCAGTTCTTTTTGTCAGGTCTTCATCGAATCGAACACAAGCATTCAAGAAGCTGATTGAGAAAGCAAGATTGAGCACAAATTCGGTTGTTTCACTCGATGTCGATACACGATGGAATTCAACATATAAGATGTTGGATTCGTCCTTAAGAGTAAAAGATGCATTTGATCTGTTGGAATGTGAAGATGAAAAGTTCACTGAAGAACTGAAGAAAAATGGCAAAACCCCACCAAATGAAGAGGATTGGTCGTATGTGCGTGGATTTCTTCCATTTTTGAAGTGTTTTCATGACACTACTGTGAAAATTTCAGGTTCCAAGTATGTAACCGGAAATTTATACATGAAAGAAATTTTCCGTGTTGCATACAACATCCAATCAATGAAGGAACATTCAGATTTTATGGTTAGATCAATGGTTACCAAGATGTCTGAGAAGTTTTTCAAGTACTGGGGTGATTGGAAGAATGTCAATGCTATGATATATGTTGCAACCATTCTTGATCCACGTCACAAAATGCGTTGGGTGAGCTTCATGATCAACCGTGTGTATAAAGAAAGTGATGCAAAGGAGCTGCTTAAGAAGATTGAGGGTGTTTTGAAAACGATGTTTGAAGAGTACAATTCCACATCACTATCTGGTGCAGCAGCGGATTCCTCATCTACTCAGACTCGGTCTAATATCATTGATGATGTTGTCAACATTGATGACTTTGAGAGAATGTTGCAAAGAGAAATGGAAGAATTTGAAGCCGTTGAAGTTCATGGTGTGTTGAAGTCTGAATTGGATAAATATTTGGATGATGAATGTGAAAAGATGACTCAAGTGAGCTTTGATATTCTGTACTGGTGGAAGACAACAGGATCGAAGTATCCAACTCTTTCTCGCATGGCTAGAGATGTGTTGGCCATCCCAGCATCCACGGTTGCATCGGAATCTGCATTTAGCACGGGCGGTCGTGTTGTTGATCACTTTCGTAGTTCTTTAACTCCCAAATTGATTGAAGCACTTATATGCACACAAGATTGGATTCGGAAAGGTAATCCACCCATTTTTGAAGAAAAGGAATTTGAAGATCTTGAGAAATTAGAAGAAGGTATGTATTATTTCTATCTTTTCATTAATAGATATGTTTAATAAATATTTATAGCAAACATAATCCCTTTTATGGTTTAATTTTTATCAGTATGGGATGCTAATCTCTTGGACTTGGATGACTACTGACTAGTATTGAAGATTTTCATTAAGGTAAATGATCAATTTATATTTTAGTTTTGGCATTGAAACATTATATTGAATTTTCTGAATATAGGAACATTTGTCTTTATTTGCTCTTCATGCTTGCATTAGAATTTGTTATTTTATTTTGTTCCATTTATTTTTATTTTGTTCCATTCAGAATTCTGTCATTTTTGCTTAATTTGATCTTATCTTCAGAATTCAGAATTCCAGACTGTCTGTTTTCATGAATAGTAAGGATATGTTTCCATTCTCTTGTCTGGTGGTCTGGGTAAGCATTCACCAGCACCTTTCAAAAATCGATAATTTTAAGCATTCCATTCGAGTTCATCAAGGGATTGTGCTTTTGGTAATAAAATTAAATTCATCAAGGGAATTATTGTCATTATTATTGTTTCTTTATTGTTTTGCTTACATTAAACAGGTCTCATTTTGCCTTTGGCAGTTCATGTTTCGCCCGACTAGTTGAGCTCAATATGGTCCGGTACCTACTGCTTGCTTGGTTTCAACTTTCAAGGTGTGATCAATCCTTTAGTATCTTGTTTGATGATGAAGTATGAACTTGTAGGGATGATTAATGATTTGTTGGAGATTATATTTAACTTTTGTGGGATGATTTATGATTTGCACTATACCTATTGGTTGTTGCTGTTTGTGGATGATTATTTGCAAACAGAGATGGTTTATGGTTTGTGATTTTGATTAAGATTTATGATTTGCAAACATGAATGATTAGCTGATTATGTTTAATTGTTTATGAAGTTTTCGGTTCGGTTCGGTTCGGTTTATTATTTGCAAACAAGTAAGCAGATTTGTGTTAGGTTTGCTCGATTCGGTTCGATTCGGTTAATTCGCAAATAGTAGAATTTTTTCGGTTAACCGAATTTTCGGTTAACCGAGATTTTCGGTTCAGTTTCGGTTAGCAAGTTCGAATATTTGCTCGGTTCGGTTCGGTTAGCAAATACCTCGAAAAACTCGAGTATCCGAACCGTGCCCAGCCCTACAAACAACGGATTGACTCAGGATTCGTGCTCTTATCCCATCCCATCTTGTAAAGCAAACAAGTCCTAAGAATACAAGATAAACATCAAACATCCTAAAGACTACACCATTCAGCAAGAAAAGTTAGTAACAAATCTAATGAGAAAGGCAAAACATAAATTTAACTAACAAAACCTAAGATATAATTATTGAGTCCCAAAAGTAATACAAAACCATCAACAACAACAGTGGTTACATATAACACATCCAACAACTCACCAAGAAAAACACATAAAAGTAGCCATGCCATTGCCAACATCTACATACTCATCCACCCAATCTATAGCAACATGAAAAGCCCAAGAATCAACACCACCAAATAACCGGGCCCACCAAGCCCGAGCGCCCCATTATCCACATCACTACCAGGCGCTCTGTTACCCACATTGGTACCGGGCACCGTATTGCCCACATTTGTACCGGGCGTGTAATCCCCCGTACTCGTGTTCGTGGTAAGGACAACAACAATCCAGTTATCTTCCGACCCTGCCCCAATCCCAGTGAACTGGGTCCCGTTCAAATAGACTGCGTACTGAGAACTGGTAAAATTTGAGAGAACAAGAGCTGGGTCAAGGCCGGGTACGCATGCATGCAGTATCTGCCCATCCCTTGTGGTGTTCGCGCTGAGGTGGCATTCGGTCAAGAGCCTCGGGAAGTTGGGAAACTGAGACTCGACGCCTGGGATCATGTTGGAGCCAGTGGTGGTGTTTGTGCACGGTTGGCCTCTGAACTCGTCTGCGAGTTCACTCGCGAGACATTCAGCACCCTCGTTGTGGTTAAGGGCTGTGAGGTTTAAGGATGTCCGGTATTGGTTGATTGCTCGGACGAGCCTGTCTTCGTCGTCTGTGTGTATGTAATTGGACAAGTTTTTTGTTAGTGTGAAAAAAAAAAAATCACAATAAATTGACTAAAGATTTCAGTAAAAATACATCTCTAGGGACTCATTTCTCCGTATTATTAACCTTGAACTGCAAATTTAGTAACCAAAAGGACAAAGATGGAATGTTTTAGTTAGGGCAATTGAAGGCCAGGAAAAACAGGAACACCAAAATGAGTTGTTATAGCTATGCCGAAAACAAATCAACATGCCTAGAAATACTATAACAGGGGATGCTATATTCACTAATTGGTCTTGGCATAATTTGAGGTGCCTGGGCAGTTGTGTAGGTGATCTTAAGGCCGTCTTGACTCGGTTAACGAGTGTGAAAGGCTGACCTTTTCTATGTAAAGTTGGTAATCATCAAAAACAATTGAACCAAGAAGCTTATAATCACCTGAATTTTCAAACTTAACTTATGCCAAAGTCTGAAACACAGCATCCAAGAAGTTGTCAGGTCTCAAATTGAACCACAAAAACGAAAAGAAGAAGAAAAAATATCTAAGTATTACTTACGTTCCTCTTTATCCAAATGCGACACACACAGAGGCACCAACCTTGCTTAAACCAAAATCAAATCAGAGTAAACTAAAGGAGAACAACATTACCTTGTTCCTACATCGTAAATCCAAGATTCAACCTTAATTCAACCTTAAGTCAACAAAACTAAAATTTTCATTCATATTACAAGGAAAAAGAAAATTAGAAGAAAATAAACCCATATCTTCAACCCCAAAGACAATTTCTTCACAATCTCTCAACAGGTCAAATTAAGAACAGAACGGTACCAAGTCCTTTGTTAGTCCTAAAAGCAAGTTAATATTGCCGAAAAAAGACCAAGAAGAAGAATAATGCAAAACCCAGAAATGAAATCTTATAATCAGGAAAATTTGTGAAGCTGGCAAGTGCAGTACTTACCATCGTCGCATTTGACGATGAGAACGGCCTGAAACAGTAGAGAGAGCAGGAGCAGCATCGACAGTGACGTCATTATTAATTTGGGTCTTCACAAATCTGGCTGATAACTTCAAAAGTTAAGCAGAATTATCTGCAGAAGATTTGTTAAGCTTATTTAGAGTTTGTGGAAATGCGTAAAGAAGGGTGAGTTTATATATGGTATTACACAGGGCTGCCGTACGGCTTGGCATTTCCTTTTCATAAATTAATATTTGTGGTTGAAACTTTAGACTTTAGCCTTTTGTCAGGACTTTCGTTTTTCCACAAAAACGAATCGTTCAGCACATAAGAAGAGTATTATTGAAAATGAATGAAATAATTGACTATTTTATTCATCATAGTTTGTAAATAATGAAATAGATAGAATTTTCCATAAGGTTCTTTTATCACAAAATGTTGTGGTAAAAATACCTTTGAAGTCACATGGTTGAAATCGAACTTGTGATTGGTTCTTTGTCACAAAAATTGTTGGGGTAAAATATCCTTCCATATCATAGCATCTCCAATGCTCAATATTGTAGTGGTAAATTACATTCCACATCAACACATTTATTAATATCACAACTTTCTATTTTTCAATGTACAATGTGATTACAAATGTTGTGGTGATGTGAACATAATTAAAGTCTACAATGTAGAGAGGAATGTGGTTCATCCACATTCTCCTCCACACTCTAACTTGCCAATGAAGAGAAGAGAGAGAATATTTTTACCATTTTTAAACTATTTAATTATTAATTAATTTTATTAATTTATATTAAAAATTTAATATTTGGTAAGTAGATAATATTGTAATTAGACTACATTGTGCATTGGAGATGATTTTTTAATTTAATAGTTGTGAACACAACATTTGTCCTACATGGTTCACAATCTATTTAATATTTTGACATTTGTCAAAATTTTCCAATAACAACATTAAAGCATTGGAGATGCTCTCAGTATTGTTGGCTTTGCCCAGTGTTATTC